TATATATATATATGTATCAGGGGGTTTGTATAGACTTATAATAAATATAATAAATAGTAATTATTAATTAATTAATTAATTAATTAATTAATTAGTTAATTAATTAATTAACTAATTAATTAAATTAATTAATTAAATTAATTAATTAAATTATATATAAATAAATATAAAAAGAAAAGGAAGAAAGGGCCCCTCTTCCTTCTTTTTTTTCTTCTCTTTTCCTTCCTTTTATCAGTATTTATTTATTTATTTATTTATTTATTTTATTTTTTATTATTTTAATTAAAATAATGCATGCGCAGATCCAGGGGGCCCCCCTATTGTATAGGGCCCCGATGGGGCCCCCAGGGGGCCCTCAAGGGGGCCCCCTTCCGCCCCACACTGTTGTTGTAGGGTACTGGAGGAAGAAAAGAGGGTACAAAAAAGCAGCAAAAAATAAAATTAAATAAAAATGTTTTTTTATTATTTGCTGCAGCAGCAATTAATGTTTTATTTATCTTGATAAACCCTAGCAGCAGCAGCAGCAGCTGCTGCAGCAGCAGCAGCAATATAGCTGCAGCAGCAGCAGCAGCAGGATAATATTGCAGCAACTATATTCATCCTTCTATTCTATTTTTTTATTTAATTAATTAATTTTATTTTATTTATATAATTTAGTGGATATAAAGAGCAGCAGCAGCAGCAGCAGCAGCAGGAGCAGCAGCAGCGAAGCAGCAGCAGCAGCTGCTGCAGAGCAGAACCCTAAACCCTAAACCCTAAACCCTAAACCCTAAACCCTAGAAAATGGTGTTAAGAACAATAACAACAGTAGGTGCTAGGGTTTACGATTTGAGTAACTTTGGAGGTGTTAGTGTTTTTGATAAACAAAGGGACAATAAAAGAAGAAAAATTAAACAGCAGCAGCAGCAGCAGCAGCAGCATTTGCTGCAGCAGCAGCAGCAGCAGGATGTAGTCCTCCTGCAGGAATTCAACTTCCCTGTCTCCTCCTCAAGGATTCGAATCAGTCCGGATCAAAATTATGTCGCAGCTACAGGAGTATACCCTCCACAGGTAAACCCTAAACCCTAAACCCTAAACCCTAAACCCTAATAAACCCTAATAAGTCCTAAACCCTAGAAACCCTAAACCCTAGTAACACTAAACCCTGGAAATCATCCCAACCTTCAAACCCTCAACCATATAAACCATATGAACCCTCTATAAACCCTAAACCCTGTATAAACCCTAAACCCTGTATAAACCCTAAACCCTAAACCCTAAACCCTCTGAAAACCCTAATCCCTAAACCTCCATCATTTTGGGTGTAAAATAGATGAAAATTTAGCGTTTTTTTGTGTAAAAAAGAAGATAAATAAATAATAAATATAAATATAATAATAAATGAATAAATATGTTTTTTTTTTTCCTCTTTTTTGTGTGTATAGATACGTATATATGATGTATATAATGTAGGTATAAAATGTATTAGGGGTCTAGATAACGAAGGAATAGATTTTTTATTTCTTTCCTCTAATTATAATAAGTTAGCAATTCTTCAATCTAATAGATGGATAGAAATACATTCACAAGGAGGAAGACATCATAAAGTAAGTCCTAAACCCTAAACCCTCCTAAACCCTAAACCCTCGTAAACCCTAAACCCTAAAAAAACCACAAAAAATTATATAGTATAGGTGTTTATAGATGTAGATATACATTCACAAGGAGGAAGATATTATTGAATAACACATTAAACCCTAATAAACCCTAAACCCTCATAAACCCTAAACCCTAAACCCTCAGGCTGGACCGGTAGTGCAGCGGACTACAAACCCTAACAAACCCCACCTTCTGAACCCTAATAGATGTAGAGATATTATAAACCCTCATAAACCCTCGTAAACCCTAAACCCTAAACCCTAGAGGGCAAGAAAGTCTAAACCCTCATACATTACCATCTACACTGCAGTAAACCCTAAACCCTAGATAATGACAGTGCAGCAGACAGTCGCAGTGGATAGCTCTTTCCCTTCTTATGATTAGGGTTTTAGGGTTTAGGGTTTAGGGTTTAGGGTTTAGGGTTTGTGGTGTATATGCAGCTACGTGTACCTACAGAGGGTACAGCCTTGGCATATTTGCCATGGTCAGCAACCCTTTGCTGCAGCAGCAGCAACTTGAACAGTATCAGCAGCAGCAGCAGCAGCAGCAGCAGCAGCAGCAGCAGCAAGGGCAGCAGCAGCAAGGGCAGCAAAATATATTTATTAGACCTAGAGTCTGGCTGTTTTCTTGAGCCTCTTTCTTCTTCTTCCTCATTAGGGTTTTGTTGTTTTAATTCAGATCTATTACCTCTTCTTGCTGTTGGAGGGTACGTAAACCCTAAACCCTAAACCCTAAACCCTAAACCCTAAACCCTAAACCCTTGCTGTAGGAAAGTACATATACCGTAAACCCTAAACCCTAAACCCTAAACCCTAAACCCTAAACCCTTGCTCTAGGAAAGTACATATACCGTAAACCCTAAACCCTAAACCCTAAACCCTAAACCCTTGCTGTAGGAAAGTACATATACCATAAACCCTAAACCCTAAACCCTAAACATTTTTAATTTCTTTTCTGTCTCTTACATGCATTAATTATGTAATTAATTAAATAAAATAAATAAATAAATAAATAAATAAATAAATGTCTCCTTTTTTTTGTCTCCTTTTTTATTTACCAGGGAAAAAGGAAGGGTAGAATGTTTTGATACAAGAACAGGAAAATTAGCAGCAACTCTTCAAGCAGCAAATAAAAATTCGTAAACCCTAAACCCTAAACCCTAAACCCTAAACCCTAAACCCTAGTAGTGATTTTTTTTTTTTTATAAGAGATAAAATATAGGTATAGGTATTTAAATAAAAGGTTATATAATTCTGCTGCTGTTGCTGCTGTTGTTGCTGCTGCTGCTATGATTATATGTACAGAAATATAACAGCAGGTTCTTTTTCTCCTTATTCCTTAGAGGTAGTAATAGGAACAAATGAAGGAAAATGTTTAATTTATGATTTACGTTCTTCTATTCCTTTAATTGAATATAATCATCGTAATTTTTCTGCTGTAAATACACTCCATTGGTTGCAGCCTCCTGCTGCTGCTGCTTCCTCTGCTGCTGCTGCTGCTGCTTCTGCTGCTGCTGCGGCTAGTAGTAGTAGTAGTTGTTGGACTGCAGCAGATGCAGCAGATGATTCACTTGCTGCAGCAGCAAGACGTGTTGCTAGTTGTGATGGTGTTTCTATTAAAGTATGGTCTGCTGCTGCTGCTGCAGCAGCAGCAAGCAGCAACCCATACAGCAGCAGCAGCAGCAGCAGCAGCAGCAGGAATGCAAAATTATTAGCTAGTATAGAGGCACCACTTGTATGGGAAAATCCAATAGCACCAAGAAATGATATAGAGGAGGTGCAGCAGCAGCAGCAAAAAAAACAGCAGCAGCAGCAGCAGCAGCAGCAGCAAAGAGTTGTACGCTTCTCCTCTTTTACTATATTTAATCAATCAGGATTATTTCTTGCATCTACTGATCATAAACAAATGGCTGCTTATTTTATACCTTCTCTTGGATTAGCACCCAAGTAAACCCTAAACCCTAAACCCTAAACCCTAAACCCTAAACCCTAAACCCTAATTAAACCCTAATTAAACCCTAAACCCTAATAAACCCTAAACACTAAACACTAAACTCTCAATTGTACAAATCCACACAATCAATACTCCTTTGGATATTTTGTTCGTGTTTAGGGTTTATGGATTTAAGGGATCCTTTGTTTTCTAGGGTTTAGGGTTTGTGGGGGTTTAGGGTTTAGGGTTTTCTATAGTTTATCTAGGGTTTAGGGTTTAGGGTTTATGTTTGTATATATAAATATTTATGTATAGGTGGTGTTCTTTATTGGATGGAGTAACAGAAGAATTAGAGGAGCAGCAGCAGCAAGAAGGATCAGCAGCAGCAGCAGCAGGTTCATCATTTGCTGCGCTGCAGTTCTTAACAGAGCAGCAAATGCAGCAACTGCATGCACAGCATCTTATTGGTACTCCTCTTGTTAATCGTTATCTACATGGATACTTTATTTCTCGTGATTTATATGAGCAACTTAAGGTAAACAGCAGCAGCAGCAACAGCAGCAGCAACAGCAGCAGCAGCAAGTGCAGCAGCAGCAAGAGCGGCAGCAGGGGGAGTTGTAGTTGTTTTTTTCTAGGTGTTGCTGCTGCTGCAGCAGCAGCAGCAGCAGCAAGGATTTTGGGGCTTTTTTATTGCATGCATACATGCATACATGCATTGGATATGGATATTATAGAGGGGAGGGAAAGAGGGAGAAGGAAGGAGCAGCAACTATTTATATATCTGCTGCTGCTGTGCTGCTGCTGCTGCTGCTGCTGCTGCTGCTGCTGCTCCTGCAGGCTGCTGCTGAGCCCTTCGCCTTTGAGAATTACAGACAACAGAAGATACAAGAAAGACTCGAAAGCAAAAAGACTATGCGTATACAGGTCTGCTGCTGCTGCTGCTGCTGCTGCTGCTGCTGCTGCTGCTGCTACTGGTGTTGCTGCTGCTGCTGTTGCTGTTTATAGTGTGGTTATAATGCGATTGCTGCTGTTGCTGCTATTGCTGTTGCTGCTGATTGGTGTCTGCTCTCTTGCTTCTGCTGCCGTGTCTGTCCTTGCTGCTGCTGCTACTGCTGCTGCTGCTGCTGCTGCTGCTACTGCTGCTGCAGCAACAGGGATTCGTGCGTCTCTTATATATACTTTGCAGGTCCGGCATAAATTGCCAAAAACAAACGCAGAATTTGCAGAAAAATTACAAAAAACTATCGAGGCAACTAAGGTATGCATGCAGTTGCTGCTGCCGCTGCTGCTGCTGCTGCTGCTGTTGCTGTTGCTGTTGCTGCTGCTGTTGGTGTTGCTGTTATGATGTGTTTGTTGTTACTCTAAGAGAAGCAGCAAATGCAGCACGTACAGTAAGATGATTTATTTACATTTTTTTTTATCATCTGCTGCTGTTGCTGCTGTTGCTGTTGCTGCTGCTGCTGCAGGGATCGGGCAGCAAGAAGCAGCAACGGGAAGCTGCTGCTGCTGCTGAGTTGCTGCAAGACAGCCGGTTTAGTCGTCTCTTCTCTAACCCGGACTTTCAATTGGAGCAAGAATCTTAATAAACCCTTTGCTGCTGTTGCTGCTGCTGCTGCTGAGTTACTGCAGCAGCAGCAGCAGGAGCAACTGCTGTTGTGCTGCCGTTGCAGCGGCTGCAGCAGCAGATACAGCAGTTTTTCTGGTTCTGCTGTTGCTGCTGCTGTAAAAATAGCAGCAGCAGCAGCAGAGACCAACCGCCTTTGGGGATGCGTAAAGTCTTTGAGTGTCATTTTGGTTGCTGCTGCTGCTGCAGCAGCAGCAGCAGCAAGCAGCAGCAGCAAGCAGCAGCAGCAAGCAGCAGCTAGGAGTAGCAGCAAGGGGTTATATAATATATATATAATAGTACTATTAGATAGTATTAGATATATAATGTAATAAAAAAGAGCAGCGTCTCTCCTCTAGACCCTAAACCCTAAACCCTAATTCGTAAACCCTAGACCCTAAACCCTAGAAGGAAAAAGTCTAACTGCTCTGCGTGATGCTGCTGCTGCTGTTGCTGCTGCTGCTGCTTAGAGACGACGTCTTTTTTTCCCTATATATTAAAGAGGAATAAAAAATAAAATAAATAAATGCATGCATGCAGCAGCAGTGTATCGATTGCTGCAGCAAGAAGGTATATTTATTGGGGTGTATAGGCAGCACTATATAATGCCTTTTTTCCTTTTTTTTTCTTCTTAGGAGGAATAATAAGAAATAAAGAAAAGAAAATAAATAATAAATAAATATAATTAATTATTTATTGTCTTTTATGTCTTTGTATTCTTTTTATGTCTTATAAGGAGAGAAGAAGCAGTCATAGATCTCTTGCTGCAGCAAAAAGCAGCAGCAGCAACAGCAGCAACAGCAGCAACAGCAGCAAAAGCAGCAGCAGCAACAGCAACAACAACAGCAGCAAATTTATATACAATAAGACTTTTTGTCTGCATGCAATAAGATCTTTTCTTATTACCTTTTATGTACATAAGCACAGAAAAAAAAAAAAAAAGAAAAGAAAAAAAAAATAAAAAAGATATTGTTGCTTAATTCAATAAAAAGACAAATAAGAAAATTATTTGCATGCAAATAAAAAAAAAAATAAAAAAAAAGAATTGAATATTTATTTATATAAGAAAAAAAAAGCCTTTTTCTTCTTTTTTATATAAAAAGCAGCAGCAAAGAAGAAAAAAAGAATATATACCTTCTCTTTTTCTTCTCCTTTTTCTCCCTATTTACTTATTCTTAGGGAAAAAAGAGTAAATATTAATAAAAATTTATTAATAATTATAAATAAGAGGAAAAAAGGAGAAAAAAGACACAGATGTACAGGTTTAGGTCCTGAGGCCATAAGTAGCCGCAGCAGCAGCAGCTGCTGCTGCCGCTACTGCTGCAGGAGCAGCAGCAGCCACAGCGGCGC